TCCATTCATCCTTGGCAAGAACCTGGGCTACTAAGTAGCATCCTAAAGAAGAGCTCCCCTACCTGTTCGGCCTTGTGACAGCCTGTTGGGTTTGTGGGTCCTCCAAGCAAGGGAGACTTTGGGACAGTTACCGACGCCTGTCGAGCCTGGCAAGGGCGGCTTTCTTCCGGTACATCCACACGGTGCTTCTTAGACTCTCTCCACGGCTGGGCCGCCAGGCACAACCATCTGCCTGGCGGGGGGAGCAGCCCTGCGGCTGCGATTGTGGGGAAACTGCCCATTGTGGGACAGTCAGTCTGATCCTCTGCCCTTTGATTCTACCCCGCAACCCAGAAGAAGCCGTTCCTGAGTTCCAGTCGCACAGGCACCCACAGAGTTTCCAGAAGAGACTGCTGCGAGGGAGAGCTCCAGGCCTTGACCCTGACACCAGGACTGGAGATCTTTCTTGGGTCCAGGCTCCACTGCTCAGCCCCTGGCAGCACAAGCGCGACACCGAGATCCTCCTTCCCTCCCTCCGGGCCTCCCCCGCTGCGGCCAGCATTGGCTTCTGAAATCAGGACTAACCTGCGCCCGCCCGCTTCGGTTCTGGCTGTGCGGGAGGAGAGACTGGTCCTCCTCCAGCCCCGGGTGCCTTTCTTGCGAGCAGGAGCGCCCAGGCATAGCCTGAATTTGCCGGCTCCCGGGAGAGCTCTGGGTGCTAACTGGCTCACCCGCCCACCTGTGTACACAACAGCCACTCTCCCAGGACACGCCGTCCACACCCCATCTATGAGGTTTTTTCAGCTATTGTGCCTACACACTGTCTCAGAACTTCTCACATTTCCCCGGCACGTCCCCACGCCCTTTCCAGATGCCTTAGGCAGATTTGAGGGCTGAGGTTACCGAAGCTGGAGGGTTGGGAAGGGCAACATGAAAAGAGGGGACTCCGTCAAAAGCCCAGATCCTTCTCGATCCTTCTCCACATGCCCCTCAACACAGAAACAGTCACATGTCTCCTGGAACCTTGCCGGTTTCCTGGCAAGAGGTGGGCGGGCGTCTGTGGGGTGCGTCCTGACTCAGTGGCCCCACTTGGCTGGTCCCTGCTTTCTCAGGTGCCGAAATGGTGTTTCCTACGAGGACTAGGGACAACCCAGGACTGGATAGCCCGGTGTTCCCTCCTCAGATCTCCCTGGCTCAGTTTCCCTGCGTGGCACGGTATCATCACCATGCACCTGTCACTCCCCCAAGACGCACTTTGGGGGTGGGAACTGGGTCCTGGCCAGACCCGAGTCCGAGTCCGAGTCCGAGTCCGAGTCCGAGTCCGGGTGAGGGCTGCTGAGCTTGGGGTGAGAGGAGGAGTCTCCCCTGGAGGCATAGCGATGCCCCTGCCCCTCTCCCGTCTCCCCTCTGTGCTGGAGGGCCCTCAGCCTTTGCGCCCCTAAGCAGGTGAGTTAGCGAGTCGCCTTCGAGGGCTGGATTCTACCTTTATTCATTTTCGCCTCTGATGTTTCCATGGGTATGGAACCCCGATGGGAACACGGGCAAGGCAGACACAGTCAGGGGAACAGAAAGCGAGGAAGATTCCCCCTCCCCGTGCGCTGTGTCCTTTACGGTCACCAGAACAAAACTCTTGGCATCCGGCTGGCTCAGGGGAAAGGGTGACAAGCCATTAGGAACCGAGTTTGGTGGACGCCTAACGGAGGAGCGGTTATTCTCATCTGGCATTATGTGTGCACAAGTTCTAGGTCCAGTGTGCGCTCTGGTGGGGGCCCCCGCCTCTCACTGGGTCTAGCCGAGTGTGGAACGGCCGACTGGCTTGTTAGAGCTTTTATGCAGTGGGTGAGTAGCTGCTCGGGTTTATTTTCAGAACTTCTGCATAGTTTCCCGTTTAAGTAAATATTTTCGGGGTTAGCTTTCCAAGGGGGAGGGCAAGAGGGAAGTTATAACGGGGCTGTGCTGAATAAAGCTCCAGGACAGGCGTGCTGCCTCCTACTGGCCAGGGAGAGCTCCCGGCAGACTCCAGGGATCCCACTTGGGGCCGGAGAGAAGGGGCCACGGGTGGGATCCCTGACCCTCTGTCCCCTCTGGCTAAGACGGTCATTCTTTCTGGGAGACAGCCCTGAGACCTTCAAAGCAAGCAGTGCTGCGAGGTGGTGAGGTGGTGCCGGGGCCCCGCCGACTAGGACTGGCTGCTAGCAGGGACACCAGTTCTGAGCGTGGGTTTCCATGCTACTGGGGAGAAGCGTTGTGTGTATTTGTGTTGGTGTGTGGGAGTCTGCATAAGTGGGAGAGACTCGTTTGTCTACGTGTCTCATATATACGGGGCCAGGAGAGTGTTTCAGTTTTGCCTGAGCACACGTGTGTGTGTGTGTGTGGGGGGGGGGAGTCTGTGTGTGTTTGCTTCCCTGTGTATGAATACATATAGGACGGATCAACATGTTTCCCGATGTGGCGACTGTGCGAAAGGGTGTGTGTTCCCCGTGCCATCCACCGTGCCTGGCACATAACAGGCTTTCAATACAAGTGAATCAGACAATCATTGCATACGTTGGTGTCCTTGTGAAAGTTCGTCCAGAGCCTGCTTCCCTGGGAGTGTACGTTTGGAAAATAGGAGGCAGGTAGGGGTGATATGGGCTCCAAGGGCTATGGTGTTTTCTCCCTTCCCAGAAGTAAGGGCGGGGGTGGGGGTGGGGTGGGAAGGTGGCTGGTGGCTCAGCCCTGTTGGCTCAAGGTGGCTTCTCGGGTCACTTGAAGGGCTCTGGCCCCTGACGCAATAGCTGGTTCTACACTCCACCAGTCAGTGAAAGTCAGGCCGCTGGGGCCCTAGAAGCACAGAGCACCGTGAGAGGGGACCTGAGTTGTCCCTAGATCAGAGCCTCCAGGAGACGCAGAAGGATCCGCTGGGGCTGGAGCTCCTCTTGGGTACCGGATGGGCCCTGTGGAGCAGTCCTGGCCTGCTGGCGATTCCTTTGACCTCTAGACCCGCACGGGGCAAAGGCCAAGGTGTAGCCTCCCGCGCCAAGTAAGCCGGCCCAGCTGTCCGCCTCTGCGTGAGTTGGCTGGGAAAGAAGCCTCCGTACTTAGAAAATCCGTGCGAAAGGGTCCGTGAGCGCTGATTTCATCCGACAGGGAAGTCCCCAGAGCCGCTATACTCTAGGATCTCATCGTCGGAAGAGTGTTTCATTCCCTCTTTATCTTGGGGTCCGGGTGGCGTGTCTGGTCCCACGCGTTCTGGTCACAGCGGAGGAACGTGTTCGGTAACTGCAGCTGCCGCGACCGAAAAGCCACATCTGCCTCCTCCAGGAGGCCTGCATGCTTCAGATCTGCCAGGACAGGCTTAGACGGGTCGCTTAATTTAGGGGAGAGGTGGGACTGGATCCCCGAGAAGGGAGAGGGCCCTGCAGGTTAATTTACCGCTACGGAGGCACAGGCACCCACTGTGGACCGTGCAGAGGTGACCCTTCGGTCTCACCGGCCAAGCCCTGGCGCCCCCTTGCTCTAATTTAGAACACGCGCCTGCTTCCCGGCCTCCCTGAGGCTCCTCGGACTTCCCTCCTCCTGCATCTTTTCATCACCTTCCCCAAAGGACAGATTTCTGAGCGTGGAGACCTTTGCTCCACGTCCACTCGCAGGCCCCCGGCTTGGCTGCTGCCCTTGGGGCCAGAGAATCTGCCCAGGGCGTCCCACCAGGTTCTGGGGACTGTGACCACCGCCAAGCAAACCTCCGTGGCCTGATTTGTTCTCCACTGTTGCTGGCTCCAAACACACGAAGAACGCATTGTTCAGCATATGGCGTCTCTTCTCTTACTCCCACCCCCAAAATGAAGAAAAAGGAGGGTGAGGGCCCTGCTCGGCTGGTGGGGGGAGAAGAGACCCCAAGAGGAGCAGGCCACCCCCTCCCGGCTTTTACAGGGAGCTTTCTAGACAGGAGGGGCAGTGGGCTTTGGGGGGGGGGCCGGGTTTAGGGTTTTCAGTCCCTTCACCTGAGGGTTGATACACGTCGTGCATGTGGGAAGGTGGCCCCCGGGTCCTGGGGCTCATGGGACACCGCTGCCCAGAGCGGTCAACCCGGAGAATCGAGTCCCTGTAGGGAAATCAGACAGTGCTGCACTCCCGGCTCGCGGGCCTCATGGTAGAGATCCGTATATATATTTATGATTTCTAATTTTATTATAAAATAAAAGCAGAAATATTTCCCGAAGAACATTCACATGAGGGCGTAACAGGGAGCCGGCAAGTCGCGGCGCGAGAGGCGCACTCTGCGGGGGGCACTGTGGCCACAGTCCGGGAGGGAGAGGAGAGAGCGGGGCGGGCCTCACCGAGAGGAGAGGGGCGAGCGGCAAGGGCTCGTTCAGAGGCCTCGGCGCCCTGGTCCTTTCTCTTTCACTTAAGTTACTGGGCGCACAGCTGACACCTGCGGCCCGCGGAACCCCGTGGGGGTGGGGGCTCTGGAGAAGGCCGGGTTCCTCTGCTCTTCCCCCTCCTACGTCCAGGCCGGGAAAGTGGGGCAGGGGGGCACAAACAGACGTCCAGGCTGCAGGAGAGAGGCTGAGGGGTCCAGACCCAGGAGTGCAAGAGGCTGGCGAGAGGAGAACCGGAAAAACGGGGAAAAAGAGAAATGGAAACTTAGCGAGAGGTGACAAGCCAGAAACATAGAGCGAGGGACGAGGAAAGGGGGAAAGGACCAGAGAGAAGGAAGGGAAAGGCACTGGAAGTGAGAGCCAGGAAGGGAAGGGAAGGGGAAGAGGGAAGAAGGGGTGAGAAGGTAGGGAGAGAGTGTGACAATGGTGTATAATTTATTCCCTTCCCTGGTTCGAGGCCCGGTCCCAGGCCTCCAAACGCTGGCAGGAGCGACTTGCTGAAAATAAATCCCGGACAAAGACCAAACGAAAGAGCCATCCACCCTGCCTGGGCCGGCGGTCGTGCCCGCTCGGCGCGCGGGTCTTTCAGTACGTGGTGGGGCCGCCGGCCGCGGGGTCTCTCGGGTCCCGGCGGCGCCGAGCACGGAGGCAGGCGGGGCTCTAGGACCCCAGGTCCACGAGGTTGGCCGACATGGGGTTGAGGATGGAGTCCTGCAGGCCGTGGTGGTGCTGCAGTGGGTCCGCGCCGCCTCCGCCGGGCACCGGCACGGGCACCGCGCTCGGGCCGGGAGGGTGGCCCAGGCTGTGCAGGGACGGCAGGCCGGGGGGCGGCGGCGGGCTGAGCAGCAGCGCGGGGCTGGACGACGAGTGGTCTGGCGTCCCCGACGGCGTCTTCTCGTCCTCCGAGCTGCCTAGCACCGACTTGCCGCCGCCGTTCAGCGTCGCGGCCAGCGGGTTGTGGCTGTTGGAGTTCGCGTTCTCGCTGTTCTCCCTGCAAGTGCAGGAGCAAAGCAGCCGGGTCAGGGGGGGAAACCGAGGCCGCTCTGCGCCGCGCCACCCCGAGCCGGGGCCCGCCGCTCGCCTCTGAGCCAGAGCCGCCAGGCGCTGCCTGCGGCTGTTTTCGGTTTCTGCCATTTTCTCGGCCTGGCCTGGGGCCTGGGGCTCTCGTTCTTTCTGCCAGTTCTCTTAATCTCTCAGTCCCCGATGTCTCTCTAGTCCTTTCCTCTATCGTCTCTTATCTCCCCGCCTCTCCTGCTCTTAACCTCCTGAATATCTTTCCTGTTCTCTGTCGGTGCTGCACCCCCCTCCACCCCCCGCCCCTGCACTGAGTTGCTAACAATTTTTTTTTGCCTCAGAGGAGAGGGGCCCGGGCTCCGGGCTCAGTGGAGTTGGGTGAGAGCACGAAGGGGGAAAGGGAAGATGCCCGGATTTTCAGTCCTGGCTCCTGGAGCCAGGGTTTGCCGGGTAGAAGTGGGGCCAGGAGAATGAGGCACCCTAGATCCTAGGTAGAGGCCCCCCATTTAAAGTTAGGAATCTCACAGGCCGTCACCTTCCATTGCTTTTCTCGGCTTGACAGAGATCTCTGACTGAGACACAGGTTCCTGGAGCTAAGGGTCCTTTCCTTCTAGCTCCAAACTGACCGCTCTTGTGGGGACTCTCCTTGCTGGGCCTAAGGACAGGCCCTAAAGACGTAGGGCTCCCTTTCCCTGCAAACTTGTGCAAACAGTGCAAACTTCGGCTGGGAGACTGGAAGTTTGGGGCCTGGGGGGCAGCCCTTGGGAGAAGAACGGAAAGCATTGCCAATCCCGGCCTAGACTTTTCCAGCATACAGTAACGGAGGGATTCCGCAGCCCTCACCTGGGGCCTGGCCGCAGAACCTGGATGCATGCCAGGCTGGATAGAGGGGGGCCCCCAGCAGGCAGAGCCCGCTTTCTGCTCTGCCTTTGACTGACAGACTTCAGATCTTGGGTAGATTCTCTCTTCACTGGCTTTCCAAGCCCTTTTCTTTCTGTTTTCCTGGAAGGGAACTTCCCAAAGGGCTGGCGGCTGAGAACTTGCAACTGTGGATGCGCCAACCTCATTGTCTGGGAGGCCGCGGTCAGTCTGAAGCTCCCCCCGACCACCTCCAGGTATCGGGGTCCACTGCTGAGCATCACTTTTTCCCCAGTCATTTACCCTGGGCTGTGCACGCCCAGCACCACGACCCCGGCTGTCTTACGCTGCTATCCTCAGGCTGGGTTTCTGTTCCCACAATCGGTTTCTCTCCCATTTCCCTCATCCACTTTGGGGCTCAGGGGAGCCGCAGACTGACGGCCACACAGGCCTAATGGTCAACTCTTAGGCTAATTCAGGAAGTCCTGGTTTCCTTGCGGACAAGCAATTCGCAGCGGTTCCGTGGCTCTCGGATCACCCCAGACCTACCGACCTGCCACCCGAAGATGGTACGGCCTGGGGGGAGAGGAGTCAAGAGCCTGGCAGTCCAGGGAACGGGCGCTGGGCCCGACAAGGCAGGAAAGGGGGCATGCGTTTCCCTTCTGCTCTCCTACAGCCCACACTTCCCAACTTCTCTTGCTTCTTTCTACGCAGCATAAAAGCCCCTCCCTATCAACTTCCATATCCACACAAGTACTATTCTTGCCCAGGCCCCCTGCACAGCCAGGTCACACCAGGAAAGTATCAATCCCAGCCCTGACCCCTAATCACACTTTGGCCTGGAGCTGCCTACCGCGAACAGGAAGTTCGGGAAAGTGCCGGTAAATTCGCACGCGCAGCCCGAAATCTGCAACTCGGATAGTCCCGAGCCTCAACCCCTCTGTCCTTCCGAAGACCATCAGGCCCTGCCTGCTGCGTCCCCCCTTGCACAGGATCCAGGTCCACCGTCTTGCCTTCGCCCCAAAGTTCGCTGCTTCTCCACTTTGTTCCCGAGCGACCAGGGAGGGAGGGAGTTGACAACTTTCCCGTTCGCTTTGCCCGCTTTAGACAAATTTCTGACCTCCTGGTCTCCCGGAAGACCTGCGCGCTGGCAGGGTCAGACAAAGCTGCGGCGGGGCCGTGGCAGAGCCCGGGCACCCGGTTTAGGCCTCTCGTGGGGGCGAGCGCACGCCCTGCGACCCCCTCCCTCGAGCCCCGGGGAGCTGGCGCCGCAGTTCTACTTACTCGTACCTTTCTTTGGCCTCGGCTGCCCGGTCGCGCTGCCGCCGGTTCTTGAACCAGTTGCTGACCTGCGTGGTGGTGAGGCCCGTGGCCTCCGCCAGCTCGCGCTTCTCGCGCGGCGAGGGGTAGGGGTTGTGCGCGTACCACTCGCGCAGCACGCTGCGACTCTTCTCCTTGAAGCAGTAGCTGGTCTCCTCGCCGTCCCAGATGGAGCGCGGCAGCGGGAACTTGCGGCGCACGCGGTATTTGCCCACCGCGCCCAGGGGCCGGCCGCGCAGCTTCTCCGCCTCGATGTAGTGCGCTTTGAGCCACAGCTGCTGCAGCTTGGCGTGGTTGTGCGGCGAGAACTGGTGGCTCTCCAGGATCTTGTAGAGCTCCCGGAAGTTGCCGCGGTGGAAGGCCACCACCGCCTTGGCCTTGAGCACGCTTTCATTCTTGTGGAGGTGCTCGCAGGCGGGCAGCGACCACAGGAAGCGGCCCAGCCGCTCGATGTTGCCGCCCTGCTGCAGCACCTCGCACACGCACGCCACTTGCTCCTGCGTGAAGCCGAAGGTGGGCAGCATGGACATGGTGCCGGCTGCGCCCCCGCCCGCCCGCGCGCGCCCTCACCGCGCTGCGCCGTCCGGCATGGGCGCCTCCCCGCCGGGCCGTCCGGGCCGAGAGGCGGGCGGGGCGGGCCCCCTGGCCTCGCGCTGGCTCCCGGCGAACCCCGAGTCACTGCGGTACGTCCTCGCGCCCGCCGCGGCTCCCGCGCTCCTCCGCGCCCCGGCGGCCCGCGCGCCTCGCCTGCGCCCTCGTCCAAGCCCGGGGGCCGCCCGGGGCGCCGCTCCGCATGCTCCGCGCCCGCCCGCCTCTCCCTCGCTCGTTTCTTGCTCGCTCTCCCTCCCGTCTAGCTCGCTTGCTGCTTTTTTAATAATATTATTCTAAGCGGGCATGAGGCGCGGCGGCCCGCACCCTGATTGGTCTGGTTATCTGACCCGGGGCCTGCCCGCGCCAGACAATAGTCGGAGTCAAATTATTCGCCATGGAGACGCTGTCAGTCACTGGTAACCCGAGCCCCGGCGGGTCGGGCGGCTCCCCCCGACCGGCTCCGCTGACAGATCGCCCGGCTCCGCGCAAAGCGGAGGGCGGCCCGAGACGCGAGCGGGAGGCGCTCCAAGAACCTGGGAGGCGGAGAGGACCCGGCAGAGGCCGGCGGCGGTGGTGATTGACGGGGCGGACGCCCAAAGAGCTAGGGAGGGGACCGACGGGGGGGGGGGGGGGGGGGGGGGGGGCGGAGTGGAGACGCGCCGGGGAGAAAAGGGGAGGAACTGGGTGGGGAGGGAAGAGGGGAGAGGAGAAGGCGGGGGACTGTTTAAGACGGTGCCGGGAGGAAGGGGAGGAAGGGGGTGGAGGGTACCTCGAGGGGGAAGAAACTTTGAGCAGCTTTCACGAGGCCCCACTGGCTACCCTACCCCCACTCCGGGTCTTCGGCGCCCTCCTGGGGCCGCAGTTTTGGGGATAGATTCTGCCCAGGATCGGGCCGGTAGGATGGGAGAGTTTGGACGTGCTTGGGCGCCTCTCAGAGATTTGGCTTTTCCTGCTGACAGCGCCCCGCCCCCACCCTAGGAGCTCCGGACTTGGGCGGTCTTCGAGGGAAAGGGGGAGGGAGTAGGAGACAGAAGTGGAGAAGATTTGGCTGTGGCCGCAGGCGGACGCCTGAGAATCAACTTCTTGGAGGATCCCGCCTTTCCTCTCTCTCCTAACCCGGCCGGCTGCCCTGAGGTCGGTACCGCCCCAGCTCGACGCTCTCTGCTTTTCGCCGGGCGGGGACTCACACTTAACCCCGCGGGTCCCACGGCCCCACGGGAAGCGCCAGGCACTAACTTGGGGCCTCGATTGAAATTGACTCCTGTCTGCAGCTCGGCCAGTCGGCTCGGCCCACGGGGAGGCGAGGGCAAGGACTCTAGGGCTGTCGTGGCGCTTACCCCGTGGGTGGTCGGGGAAGACGGAGTGGGATCAAGACCCACCCCCTTCTCTGGCCTCTGAGCTCAGCCTCCGCTCCGGGCACTTCCAGCCTGGGAACCGGATCACTCGAGCTCCGGAATAAGGGTCTTAAAAGGGGGATCCTGTTTTTGTGTGTGTGCTTTCGCAAGGGTGCGCGTGGCAACACGTGGTGCTGGTTCTCGGGGAGGAGGACAGGGGGAGTAGGTGGGAGATCTGGGGGTAGAAGGGGGGCGGTATTGCTGTTTTGAGAAAGCCGGGGGCTTAGCTTCTTCCCGGACTGGTCCTTTCCACTTCCGCTTTCCTTCTTTGGTCTGAGCTGTCGGAGGCCGGAGTCAACTCTGCTCTCAGTTCCAAGACCCAAGCCAGTACCGAGCCTGGGCTCTGCCCCGAGCTCAGGACTGTGGAACCTGTGTCTAGGCCACATTTCATTTCCTTCCCACCCTTTTAAAATTCCTCTGCAGTTTGTGTTAGCAACATGGGATGGGAGATGGCAGAACCCTGGGTTCAAGTTTTTGCTTTGCTTGGTTTAGTTCTGTAGCAAGATTTCCCAAAGTTTCCCCCTTGGCTAGTATTCTAGAAGTCTTGCCGGGGAGTTGCAGACATCAAAGAGTGGAACCCTGGGACTCAGTCTCTAAGACTTGCTTTTGGAGTCCTTCCCTGCCTCCTCTTTGTGTGTGTGTGTGTGTGTGTGTGTCTTTGTGTGTGTGTGAAAGGTTGTCAAAGTCGGTTCCGAGCCAGTGCCAGGGACAGTTCCCTGCAGAAATGCAGGTGGCATCTTCAGAGGCTGTCTGTTGGGTGGGAGGAGGCCTGCTCCATCCGGGCCCCTCTACATAGAGCCCTATGTGCTGCCACACAGCTTCACACCAGAGTCAGACTTAGGGGACTCTGGGGGACATGGGGGAAATATTTACCCCTGGCTTCACTAACTTTCAGAGTCCGCCTCGCTGACCCTCAAGATTGGGCAACCCACTCTTTCTAAGACTTCATCTTCAGCCATGTGGGCTGAAGGTTGGGCCCAGCAGGACAGCAGGCTGGGCCCAGCTCTCACCGTGGCCATCGTACCTCTTGGCAAGGACAGGCTGGGGCTGTGGGGAGGGGGGCCACCATGGTCTGGTGCCCGTGAGTGGGACTGGACAGTAACTTCCTGGTTTAAGACTTTAGGGCCAGTTTATGGCCCGTGCCACTGTACTTTCTCCCACTCTTAGATGAGGCTTGCATGATCCTTTACATCCCTGCTGATTCTGAGCTGGGGCGGGTCTGAGAATCCCAACCTTGAAAAAGTGGGTAACCTTAGCATCCTCAGCCACAGCTTCTAGTATGAATATCCACCCCCCACCCCCCCCCACCCCCACCCCACTCTTGGAGCTTCAAGATTGAACTTCCTCCAGGACTGGCTCTTGCCTTCTTCAGCGAAGGGAGATTTTCTGGAACTTCAGACTCCCTGTTCTTTCCAGGTTTGCCCTCTTTGGGGCCCCTGGCTGCCAAACCCTAGTCACCCCTGCCAAGAGGCCAACCTGGATACGATCGTGTGTGCCACGTGAAAAGTCATCACAGAGCAAGCACAGAAAACCCGGAACACCATTACCCAATGTATGGGTGTGTGTCCATATGCCACCAGCTCCCCGCTTCCTCCCAGGTTTGTAGGAAACCGGTTCTCACAGGTCTGGGCTAGAACCTCTTGCCAGCAGGGACAGCGGAGGGCCTGCCTTAAAAAGGTTCCAAGCTTAGCTAGGCTCTCCTCACACTCTGAAGCCCCCTCCTTGCCCAGCCCTCTCCCTGGCAGTCTTTGCCACAGGACAGAGCACGCGGGAGGTGCCTGGGTGAGGATTTGATAGGTGCCAGCCTGACCTTAAGGCAGTCCTAGCCCCAGGTCCCAGTGCTCAAAGCAGCTGCTGGAGAAGGCTTGGGTCTAAGCTACCCCGATCTACCCAATCCCATATTCTTTCTTTCCCCAAGACACACTGGGAACGCCTGCATTTGCCATCTCATCAAGCACAAATAGGAGAAGCTCCATGGCTGGGAAGGAGAAAACCTGAGCAGACAGGTGGAAATTGGGGGCTCACTGAGATGTCTCCTTTCACCTCCAAGGTGTGCTGGAAGTCCCCTGGGATGAGACTTTCTGGAAGGCAGCAGCACAGGTGGATGGGTGTGCTCCAATGAGATGCGCTGACAGAATGCCTTTGCCCCTGACCCTCGGTCAGGGACAGTCTGGGGCCTTTTGTGTCTGAAGTTGGGCCGAAGCTCCCCAGAGCAAAGTCCCAGGGACCCCACAGATGGCCCAGCCGAGGCCCAGCAATTACCCACTCGCAGAACTTTTGGGGAAGGGAGAAAGCAGCTGCACCAGCCGCCCAAAGGCTTCCCTGATTTTGGGTTGAGGCCAGTTTGGAAAGAAGACGGTGATCTAAGAGGAGTTGCTTGTAGGCTATTTCTAACGGAGGGGACGATGTGTGTGTGGGGGGGGAAGGGGGGCTCTATGCCAAACCAGAGGACCAGAGGCTTTTTTTTTTTTTTTTAAATCTTTTTTCCAGGCGTTAAAGACTGCAGGAGTCCCCTGGGCAGAGTTTGGCCCTGGCCCTGCCGCGCAGGCCCTCCGCGCAGCTCGCACCGGGTTGGGTTCCGGGGCGTCGCCGCCCCAGGGTGGTTGGGGGTGTACTGTGCCCGGCGTCCGCAATCCCAGAGCCCGCTGTTCGCGCGGCAAACTCGCCGAGACCCGGCCTCCCGCCCGGGCCTCGGAGGCAAGTTTCGTTGAAAGCGGGCTAGCGGAGCAGGGCTGGTGTGCGCTGAGACTCCGGGGGCCTCCCCGCCGCCGCCGCCCGGTCCTTCGTCCCCTTCCGATGCGTGCCAGCTCCGCGGACCAGAGAGGTATTGCAAACGCCAGCACCCATGGCTGTCTGTGTTGCCCAACATTTGGGGGCAGTCAAGGCGCAGGCATTCGGCTCACAGGAATCTCCGTTTCAGAAAGTGGTCCCCACGGCGCCCCCAGCACTGGGCTTCCAGCCGCGGCCCTCGCTTAACGGTGCGACTCCGGGCGTCGCCCGTGCCGCACATGCCGGGCACGGTCACAGGCCCCCAGAGGCCGGAGCAGCACGATCATTTCTGGGGCTGTTGCTCAGGACCCACGGGGCAGCCTAGAGGGCCCTCCGAGACAGCGGTTTGGAGGCCGCGCGGGCGCACAAGGGTTCTTGTTAAACGAAAAGAGCGAGAACTAGGGCTCGGGGCCGGTTTGGAGGTCGGCAACCCGGTGACTTGGCCGGAGGAGGCGCGGGGACCGAGTGGGGCCGAGCGGGATCTGAGGCGGGTACCCAGGCCAGGGGCGCTGCCTGCCGTCCGACGACGCGCCGCCTGGCTCACGGCCTTCTGTCCCCGCCCGCGGTCACGGCTCAGTGCTGGGGTCCCTTCCTGCCCGCGCCACGCTCCCTCCCGGGCTGGCAGGGGACGCTGGGCCCCTTTTTGGGGGGAGAGGTTGGGGCGCGGCCACCGCGGGCCGGGCATCCGGGGAAGGCGGCCGGGCTCTCGGCTTTGGGTTCGGGAAGCCGCCGAAGTCCGCCGCCCGGTTTCTGTTTTTGGTATTTTTCTGTCGTAG